AAGGCGAAGCCCACAGAGAAGACGACGCGCCCGCTGATCACGAACAAGCCGTGTAACACGTCGGCCTCAGGTGAGGTCGTCCTCGGTACTGGGTCTATTCTGATGGCTGTGACACAGCCTTGCAGAAGCGTGCCGCGCCCTGTACAGTTTTCACTTCTTGTTTTGTTTTAAAGCTGACTACTTCAAAATTCTCATGACGGCAATTAATATTCGTTACTGTACATACTCAACCTTCTCCACTCGTTCAAAACAAATAAAGAAAAGTAAGTAGATAAAAAAAAGTCATCATTGGTTGGTTGTGGCAAATGTGAATTTATTGAGGCGCACAATTACCTAAACGAGCCACACCGTTGTGGAGGTGTACGGCTTCACGTGGTTTCAGAACAAATACACCCGTCAGGTAGAGAATTTCAGGTATTTCAAGCGAAGATTGAAGATTCAGCCCTGAAGACCAAGGAGGTTTCAAAGCAGGTCAGGAGCAAGGTTGCTGGAAAGGCCAGGTCAGGAGAAAGGTAGGAAAATCCTGGAGTCTCTGGACGTCTCTGTTAGCCAAGAGTACTCACCCCGGACGAAGGCGACAGTGTCTTCGTACCACCAGGCACTGACGCCTCACTCCGACTGTCCCTCCTCACCGAGCCGCTGGCCTGGCGGGGCTGCAGAGCTCAGACACGGCTTTGGGAGAGCTTCAGAGTCCGAGCTGGGAGTCGCATCTGGGCTGTACGGCGGAGCAGCTGGAGGACACCAGCACTGAGGAATCCCTCGTGCAACAGTGCACCTGAAAACAGCTTGGCCAAAGGTGTTCTGGTCCGATGAGAGCAAACTGCAGCTTTGTGGTCTGAATCCCAAGTGTTCCCTTCTGCTGTGTTGGGGTTAGGCCAATCTCCCGGTGCTGGTTCAGTCACGCTTCATAGGGCTGGAGCAGAGTAAGGTCAATGCTAGAGGAAAACCTGTTTCAGTCTCCTGAAGACCAAACTGTGGTGAAAACTCCCCATTCAGCAGGATAGTGATGTAAAAGCACAAGACCTGAGCTACGCTGGAGTGCCTTCGGAATAAGAATAAGTCAGAATAAGTCAGAGCCCAGACTCGAGTCCCTTTGAGAATCTATGAAAAGATTTGAAAACTGTTGCTGTCATTAAGTTACTCCCTGAGCAACCAGAGAGACATCTGCCAAGACACATGGGCGAACACTGTAGCCAGCCAGTGTACAAGGTGAGTAGAGAGTTAGACCTATAACTGCTGTCAAGGGCTTTCCACTAAATATTGTTCATGCCTCTGAGTGCTATCAACATTCTTCAGTCTTGTTTTCTAGTTTTTGTTGACATTTACTGCAATGTATCTCTCCCTTAGTCTTCAGTTTGAACATTCTAGTTTTGAATAAGTTAAGTTTAGTTTCAAAAGTGTATGTATCCTTTTTTAATTTAGCAAAATACGACCCAAGGCAAGGCATTGTAGTTTTATGAAGCACTGCAGTTATTTCCTGTCCTCGTGTACAGTAGATGCTGAATGCAGAGTTTACTACTTACATAGCTTTCCAGCTGCCTCTGTTAAAAACTTGAGGACAAAATGGCGACCAGGCAGCCATCTTAATTTCCATGGGCGCCCTGACAGCCTTGGACAATGCCTGCCATGTGTGGAGCTGGCAGCAGGCAGCAGGAATTTACTCTTGGGGTTGTGTGTTGAAAAAGGCTGTTGGCCCATTTTTCATTTCAAGATTGGTGCATTTCAACCTGTGCTTTAACAAACCCGAAGCTCGAGGTGAAGGTTGTTGGTGACCTTCGTCAAGCTTGATCTGGAGCTGTGTAGTGGCTTCCGAGATGATGAGTGAGAGCTTTGTGTTTTTGAGGCTGCGGATCCTGCCTCCATCTAGGTTGATGCACAGTGTTCGTCAGATGACAAGGCCGGTGTTGGTCGGCTGCCTGTTTGTGAGCAGGA